TGTCTGTATTATGGATGTATGTATGTATATGTATATATATATATATATATATATATATTATGCTCATGTTCTGGATGCATGTTGCACAAATTTATTACTATTGTGGTGGATAAGATTATATATTTATGTCAAAAAATCGCATTTTGGATGATCTATGGACACTTGGGCATGCGATCTTTGTAAATTCAGTCGTGTGTGAACACTACTATTTGGGCTTTCTCTGTGATACGACCACACCAGGCTGCAGTCTTTGTCGCACGAATATTTGTTTTGATGTGAGGTGTTCGCCAGTAGCTACCCCTATGCTCTAATATAGAAATGTGTCCATCAGTTGGTATTGATTCTATCTGTTTATTATGCATCCAAGTTCGTGATCGAGCTCGGAGATTCTCTCTGACTTTTCCATATTTTTCCCATATTTGCAGAAGGTGGGCAGCACATCGGTAATCAAACACTGGACGAGGATGAGCGAAGGGGTAGTGTTTTTGTCGGTTCCGGTTATGATGAACACTCTGTATTGCTGGTCATCCTAGAGCGGACAGCCAAGTATGTACGAAGCGATAGCAAGGATCACGGAACTGTATATATGCATATACACATGCGCCTGTATACATTGTATATTCAGATGCGTGTACATGAAACATGTAGATTTATGTACGCATCGAAATGCCATACATAGCCAACATGGTAGTGATATTCACTCGCGTCCCGATTTGTAGCTGTGATTATCGGCTTACTGTTTTGATGCGTTAAATCTATTACAGCTATTTACTTCGCTGGACTGTTACTTTTGAACTATCCAGTAGTCTGAGACATAGCAGTAATTCTAACGTCCTATCTGTGCCTATTGTAGGTAGCGCGTCACGGTATATAATATGTTTTCGGGATCATGTACTGGTATCTGTACTTTTTTTATCTATGTCGATAACATGTGTTCAATACGCATACCCTCAGCGCTCTGACTGCTAAGAGCGGGAGACGCAAGTATTTTCTGCTTCTCGTACACACACAGTTCAAAGCTGATAAGTATTGCGTGCATCTAAGCCATTTGTCCTTTACACTTCAGTGAGTTGATCGACATCAACAGAGTAACACTCGGCTCGCAGCTGTGCAAACGTGACTACATGGAAAGAGAGAACCACTACCGGTACGTGTGTGGATGTACATGCAATCCAGGATGTTCTTCTTTGTCCGGGTATTTAAAAAATAGTCATAACTCGAGTTTCGTATTGGTTCATGTATTCATCATCTACGGCTCGGCTTTTGCAACCGCGAGTTTTTCGCATTACTCAGTGGTTTGAGGGAGCTGCAGATCATATCGCAGCCATTGGTCCACGATATTACACACACATACACACACACCCCGACACCCATGACATTACACACACACACACACACACCGACACACACCGACACACACACACGATAACACACACACACACACACGACACGACACATATACACACACACACACACACACACAC